TTGAAAAGTAAATATTTATTATATACGTTGTTTTAATCCTTAGGCTGATGACTGATCTGCTTAAGTATGTAACGATAATCTGTGGCGAGAACTTCCTCAAATCTTTTAACATCGCCGCAAGAAAATACTTAAATTGCTATACATTTGGCAACAACTGGCCTGAAATATAAATTTGCGAGACCGAAGTTCTTAGATACTCTTGAACTGGAAAGACTTAAAGTTAAACAACAATTACGAAAAGAAGCTTCAACACCTATAATAATTTGCATATTAATCACAAAATTCTACGACAATTGCCGCTGAGGATTGAATGAACTAAATACAGATGTAGCAGAACTAGCATTAAGATTTTGGCAAACGAGGCGATCGCTTTGAGGCTAAAATAACTCTGGGCGCTAAAAATCTCCTTGGGCGCTAAAAATCACTGGGCGCTAAAATCAACGGAGTGCTACAATCGCCCTAGGTGTTAACATCCATATAGGAAGAGATTTTTATTGTTTCCAAACTCGTCATCATTGTAATCTTGCATAATTACATGATCAAAATTTATTTTTGGAAATAACAAAGGGTCTTAAATAAACGCTTGAGGCAGTGGATATCCTGGAGCTGGTCCTGATCAGTAGTCTGTACAGCCTTCCTCTTTCTTCCAAAATATTCATTTCTTATTTCATTTGGGAATGGTTCCAAGTGCGCCAGTTATTATAAGTACTACAGTGCTCATCAGTTCTTGAGAAAAAGTTCTTCAGTTTTTTCAGCTTCTAGCCTGATGAAAGAGCAACGTCTACGATCTGGCGAAATTTATTTCTCGAGACCTAGCGAGATTTGTACTCACGTTTCTTATTCTTGGGAGCTTTTCTTTCCATGAAAGCCTCGGTACTGATTTGTACACGATACGCTAGCAACAATAAAACATGTAATCTTAAATCTCGCCGGAGGTTTATTCCTTATTTATGGTGATTATTTAGCTGTCGCACCCCCCCTCCACAAAAAAAAAAAAAACTAGTTACCACACGGAGCAAATGAAATATGATTAAAGAAATACGAATAAAAATGAATAATAATATTAGGTTGGTGCAAAAATAATTTCGTTTTCTCACATAGTAACATATGTTAGAAAACGAAATTATTTTTTCACCAACCTAATAGTTTTTATTTTTATTATGTAACAAATTCTAGTTTATATTAAACAAAGTGTCTTATATAATATGAACAAGAACGAAATATTCAAACCACAACAGATTCCTTGTTTCATATCTCCTTTAAAAATGAAACAAATAGATCTTTAATGGAATCTGAGATATCTTTTTGTTCTTTTTTTCGTTGCCCCTTGAGGTGCAAAGTTTAGGTGTCTTCAAGAATGTCTTAAGTAAAAGTAAAATTCTATTATAAATTGGCAGGAAGCAAGTTGACTGAAAGCAACACCCACCTACATTATACCAGGATTCGGGATATTTTTTTTTCATTCTTTAATTAAGAAATGGGTCTTATTCTTTTGACTTGACACGAATATATTACTTGAATTGTAAATCAACTAAAAAATCGCGAGGATCAAATTTACTTGCTTGTGATTTTCATTTTGTTCTTTTTCATTTGAAATTCTGTTGAGCAAAGGACAGAAGAAGAAAAACAAGGCTTAAATTATTTTTGCAGAGCAACACGCAATACTCTTTTCAATTCATTTACAGTACATCGAAGTATTTTAATTTTTCTTTCTGTTTAATATTTCGATCATTTTTTATAAACTTTACTTTTTTTTTCTTTTATCCATTTTTCTTCTTTTTTCCATTTTTCTTCTTTTTTCCATTCATTCTTTCCTATTTCGTTCGTTTTATTTTTTCGATCATTTTTTCATTCTTTTTCTTTTTTTCCTTTCTTTTATTTTCTTTCATTATATTTAAATCCTTTTACTTTTTTTTTTCCTGTCAAGGTAATGTTCTCAATTTATTCTTTTCTTTCTTTCGTTCGTTTTTCTTTGTTTTCATTTCTTTTTTTCACTTTTCTTTCTTTTAGTTATTTTTCTTTCATTCCTTCATTCATCTTTTTTATTCTTTTCTTTTTTGGGGGTTCTTTTTTATTTTTCGATCTTTTTTATTCGTTTTTCTTTCTTTTCGTTTCTTTTATTCCCTTTTCTTTCTTTTTCTTTTGTTTATTTTTATTTCGTCTTTCAGTTATGTTGTCATTCCTTATTTTCTTTTCGTTTTTTGTTCTTTTTATTTTTTCGATCACTTTTTTAATTTCTTTTCCTCTCTTTTAATTACTTTTCTTTTCTTTTATTCATTTTTCTTTCTTTCTTTTGGTCATTATATTTCTTCCCTTTTAGTTATTCTTCCGTCAATTGTCCATTTTCACCCATTCTTTTTCTTTCTTTCTTTCTTTCTTTCTTTCTTTCTTTCTTTCTTTCTTTCTTTCTTATTTCTTTATCTATCTTTCATTCAGTATTTTCTATCTTTCATTCAGTATTTTCTTTCTATTATTTATGTCTTCTTTTTCTTCCTGTTGATATCTTTCATTCGATATTTTTCATTCTTTTTCTTCCTTTTATTAATTTTTTTCTTCAGTCTTTATTCATCAAAGTTCATTAAAAGGCCAAGTAGATTGGAGGACAACTTTGTAACAGTCCTAAAACTGTTAAGGGTAAATTGGAAGATCAACATCCAGAATCTTGTCTTTAAACGAAGATCGAACCCAGACAACTGTCACGGGGTGAGGGTGGGGGTGGGGGTAATGCATAACAGTCAAGTTTACCCCACAGGCTAAAGACAAAAACAATACTAATAACATGAAGAACATAGACAAATGGTTAACAATAATTCAATGTAAGAAATTTAAACAACTTTTATTACTGACAGGCGGACAATTGTCCTTATCATTGCAAACTTTCGTCTATTGGTATCTCCGGCCTTCTCCGGATTGCCAATAAGGAAATTCAAATTGAACCCTTATTTAATCTACGGCATTAGTTTATCATTCCACTGACCATGTTTGGGAATATATCGTCTACTTCAATTTCCGTTTTATATATCTATACACATATATAATCCCATCTTACTGTACTCGATTAATTTATAATGTGTATATGTGTAATTCCAACTTTGTAAGTATAAGGCTACGTTCCAAATACATTAGATATATAGTCTCGACCTATTATTATATTAACACCGTGAATACTATTTATTCAATTAGACAATATTTTAAATGTTATAACTATGGTATTTTGTTAACCTATTTGACATGTTTACTTAATTTCAAATCTTGATTAAAATAATTTTTAATTTTAATTTTTTTTTTTAATTCTTCGTCTTTGAACTTAAGAATTTGAATGATATAAATTATAAATAATTCATTATAATACTTTTAGACAACAATAATTAAATAAACAAGTCTTAACACACAATTTTAAATCATCACCACGATAACGCGAATCTCATAACGGTCAGATTGCATTCCGTACCTGAAGATTGCAGAGTTGCATGAGACTCCGAGTTGTGCTATCGACGTTGGATATTATGTATACTCATATATATATATATATATATATATATATATATATATATATACAGAGAGAGAGAGAGAGAGAGAGAGAGAGAGGAAATTAGAGGGTGTTAGAAGCTCTGTTCCCAGGACTACTCTGAACTGGGGTAGTAGCACCTGTTAGGGTCCCAGCTATGGACAAATAACAAACCCTGGTATCAAAAATCAACAGTACATTTTTATAGTAAAATGACCAACAATATATTTTTATAGCAAAATGAAAATCAATGGAACACTAAAAATATAAAAATACATTTTTATATTAAAATTACCAACAATACATTTTTAAAGCAAAATGACCACCAATGCATTTTATCTGTAGGTGAAAGCGTACAGTCGTGTTCAAAATGTACTTAGTTGAAGGTGTTCAAAATGTACTTAGTTGAAGGTGTTCAAAATGTACTTAGTTGTAGATTTCGGCATTAAATAACCCATAGAGGTTGATATGCCGCTAAACAATATCAACCAACATGAAAGAACTCTTTCATGATATTAATCCATATTCTATAAATTCCTAAAGGAATCAAACTGTATTCCAAAATATAACTTCAATAAAACTACAACATAAAAATGACACATCGCCACCTCTAGTAAATATGTCCGCACAAAAGCTGAGCAACAACTACCATGTATTCTATTGTGTAAACAGAATAACATATCATATACTTATTACTTCAAAGCTCCGAAGAAAATTAAATTTTGGCATTAAATGAGTCATAAGGTGTTGATATACCGTTAAATAAACAAATCAATCAATCAATCATTGTATATTGATACAATAATCCGCCAATGTATACATACATCTGTTCTTTTTTTATATACTGAAGTTCTGTGTTCCCAATAAGTAGCAGTCATCTTGGATTGTCTTTGCTAAGAACAATGCTTTCTGTCTTCTTAATCGATTTTCCATTCTATTCGCCCCTTAATAGTTCCAGCAGTTTTCTTTCTGACTCGGTTATCAACACGATATCATCTGAATATCATATGCTAGTAAGATTGTGTCCGCCAAAAAATAAATACTGTTGGGTCTTCTACTTCGCTTAGGATATTCTCAGCATGTGGATGAATCTATTATTAATAACAATATAAAATCAATAATGTTGATGAAGACAACAGGGAAAAATACAGAAGCAATGGATCATTTCGGATGCAGACAATAAATTGAAACTCTTTATAATTTATTGCGCAATCGTTATTTTCTTCAAACAAAATAACTTTATTATTTATTTTTTAATATACTGATGGATTTTCTAAACTATCCATTGACAGAATCTTATTGAGAGTGAGGGCTTAAAAGCTCTTGGTACAAAGTATTTCGCAAATTATGACCAAATAACTAAACATCAGAACGTTCTAGAAGAGCTTGTTAAGCTGATAACTTTTTAACGCGAGTTCGTAATTAAATCGCATTATGGAATAGTTTAAGGATCCATCAGTATATTAAACATCTATAATTAAACGTTATGCAATAAATAATAAATTTAATCAATTATATATACACACGCATGCACAAAATATATGCATACATACATACACACACACACACACACACACACACACACACACATATATATATATATATATATATATATATATATATATATATATGTGTGTGTATGTGTGTATTAAAAAGAAGAGAGGTACCGCAATCGTTTTTGGTTGCAATGTGGATTTTTTTTTTATAAAAAATATTATGCTTTATTTTCCATAATTTTACTACACGAGTTTCTGGTCTCCCGACCGTCTTCAGGTAAAAGGCGGAGATTTCCACATATCATTAAAAATAATTAATTTTTTTCCTTTATGTTTTTCGATGTTAAATATTCTCGATGTGAGACATTCTCTGTGTTTGTGTTAGTAATCCGAATGTCTTTCTTGAATTGATTCCTAATTTAAAAAAAAATCCACATTACAACTAAAAACGTTTGCAGTACCTCTCTTCTTTTTAATATACACACTTTTCTCTCGTTTTCTTTATATATATATATATATATATATATATATATATATATATATTTTGAACAATAAAAAATATTAAAAAATTAAAATCTTTAGACACACTAGGTTGTAGATTAATATTCTTTCGTTTTTTTATTATTATTTCATTTAGATTCCTCGACTAGTTTCGACCAAAATGGCCATCATCGGGAGGAGAAATATTTCTGCATGCTGATAGCAGTAAACTACAGAAATGAATCTTTTGCTGGAGAAAATGAGCTTTTGTCTGTAGTTTTCATTTGTTTTTTTTTTTCATTTTTTTATCTTTTTAACATGAATCTTTTAACATTCCTTGTGTTGGTCAAACAGTCTCTTTTAAGTTGTTATTTGAGATAAGAGCTGGATGGATCTATGCTTCTCTGAATTCCCGTAGTCAGTTTGACAGTTTTATTGGTCCTGGAGAGGGGATGTGTCTCTGTTTAGTGTTTGTGTGTGTGTTATTTGGTTCTTAGGGAGTGAGTGAGTATGATATGTGTAAGCGTGTGTATTGCTGTGGGTGTGTATTATCATTTGGCTCATTAGGGAGTGAGTGAGTATGATGTGTGTAAGTGTGTATATTCGTGTGGGTGAGTGTATAAGTGTGAGGCCTCAACACCTCCGTAAGCATGTCTGTCTTGTGTGGGTGAGAAATGTGGGCGGGTTTTGATTTGTTGAGTTATATATTGGTACTATCTGTATTGTTAAATTTATGGTTTATATATATGAAATAAAGAAATGGGACACAGAATAAGGATTGCAGACTGGATTCTACAGTTTGGGTTGGCAAACAGTCTACCACAAAAATAACTGCAGCCTGCGGGGATTCTTCTGCCATGTCAATCATGAATCGAAAAGAGACATGCTCGTCCAAGCATGTCCCACTCGCCCCTACCAAAAATCCATCGGATCAGCGCAGTAGGGTAATGCTCCATTCACCCCATGAATAGCAAAGACGCCTAGGTCTTGGAGAGGCATACGTTCAAAAAGGACCTTTACAGATTGAGAAGAGGAAATTGCTACCTATGACTTTATCATCATACCTTAAATCCAGTTTTACTTTATTTTCTGCAAGTTTAATATTTCTAGATATAGAAAAAAGGATCTAGTTTCGGTGTCCAGTGTATGATGCTTGTAAACTCGTTGTTGAGTTTTACCACAGCAGGATAATACTGCAAGTCCAAACTGTCACGATATCAAGATTTTTTTAAGTGGAGAAAGACGTTGCACTCCAGCTGTCGGTGTTACATTATAGTTTTTTTTTTATTCTCCTAATTGAATATTTTAACGAAGGCTAAGTGGTCCCTGGCTCCAAGTAAGCTTACCGCACGCCTGGACAACAATCCAAGTATTTCTACATACCCACGTCCTTGCTAGATGTCAGTTGATCTTAAAGGATTCCTCCGTCCATTGATAGAGCTTGTTTTTAAATCTGCTGCGTCTCTCTCCGCGTCCTCTGTACCAGAAAAGCCTGGTGTGGGAACAGGTTTATTCGGTGATAATACGGCAAATAGCACTTGGTTACATAGTAGTATTCATAAGGTAATCTAACTATAAGTGTAATAAAGTCTCATGATAGAGCCAGGTGTTTAACTACATGCATACCACTCTGAATAGAACGGCATTGGTAGTCTTGCCTGTGATCTTTTCGAATTTCCTGCCGTTTTTGACGCGAGATGCATACACCATGCGAGATGTGAAATATTTACCTTTTTTGGTAGAGTAACTCGTTGAAGAATAAAACTCAGTCTAAGAAAAGAAATCTCGCAATTCAAATTATTGTAAAAGGAAACCATTGAGTTCAAACTCACGTAAATAACAGATCAGACTCTGTTGTTTAGCATTGGCATATGACAGCTACTCTAGGAGACAGACACTCGAAATGTATAAACTAGCCTGGAGAGTGGCGGGCCCCATGCTGACTTTGACACACCCACTGTTGTTACGGCTGATGTTAAAAAAATGGTCTGTAAAGAATCGAATAGATTAGAAGGA